TCCCTCCTTCCTTCCTTCCTTCCTTCCTTCCTTCCTTCCCTCCTTCCTTCTCTCCCTCCCCTTTCTCCCTCCCTCCCTTCCCTCCTTCTTTCCATAGGTGGATCTGTGCTGGTTAGGTTTTACTGTCAAGCTGATACAACTTAGAATCACCTGAGAAGAGAGAAACTTAGTTGAGGGATTGCCTCCATTAGATTGGCTCATGGGCAAGTCTCTGGGGCACTGTCTGGATTAATGATTGATGTGGGAAGGCCCAGCCCACTATGTAGCCCACAGCACCATCCCTAGGTAGGCATCCTGGCATGTATAGGAAAGCTAGCTGGACATAGCAGAGGTCAGTGAGCAAGCCAATAAGTAGCTTCCTTCCATGGTTCCCGCCTCTAGGCTCCTGCCTTGAGTTCCTGGTCCGACTTCCCTCAGTGATGGATTTTACCTGGAAGTGTAAGCTGAAGTGAAAAACCCTTTCCTCCATCAGCTTACTTCTGGCCATTGTTTGATCACAGCAGCAGCTTGGAATCTCGTGGGACAAGCCACACATTAGCCAGACCTGGATGTAGCCCATGTGACATACACTCTCACAAGGGCTGTGGAAACAGAAAGCAGGTGTGGTGTACAGGTCTGCTGGCAGGTGGTAATATGTGATGCTCTCTCAGATGCCGCTGGCAGAGCAAGGTCTGACCCCTGCTGCAAGCTGCAAGATCCCATGCTTTGCTTCTGCTCATCAAGCCCCAGCTTCCTTGGCTTGAACTCTTCGCTGGGCTTGCTCATCTTCTACTTCCCTGTCATAGTAGCTACCATGGCCGAGGGACCATTAGGATCAGGGCCCTTGGGACCACCAGCTTGTCCTCAGCATTTCAGGGTTCTGGTAGGCTCCAGCTCCACCTGCACACTGTTTAACTGGTTCCAACTAACTGTCTGCCAGCTTCCTAGGTTCCCCTCAGATCCTTTGCTCTCCCTAGGCCATCCTGTCATATCCTGTTTCAGGAGACTGGGTTCTTCAATTCTCTGTCAAACTCTCCCTCCTCAAGGAACGGGGTTTAAGGCGCAGCTCGGGGAACCATGGAAGTAAATAAGTAAATAAACACACATGGAAAATGTATAGTGTCAACACTACAAATGATCAAATCTTAATGATGAACAAAGCTCTTGGTGAAGTGATTGCACAATTATGTATCCACAAGGCAGAGTATTTTATAGGCATATAAAATCAGAATCATGAAGAACATGTCATAACTTGGAGTATGCTTATGGCAAAATGAAAAGGCAGAACTCTTTACTTTGCTGCCTCTGGGCTTCGAGCAGCCTTTGGTATGTCTGGAACTCTTAACACTGTCCCTCCTAGCCTTATCCTTTCCCAATACTTTGTATGGTCCAGTCTTCCTCAGCTTATTTATGGGTTTGAACTTGCCCTACCTAACCCCTGATGCACTTGGAAGACCCACTCTTGCCCCCCTGACCCCATCAACCCTGTGACTTGTTAATTTCTACCTCTCATCTGTCAGTCCAGGACAGAAGACCCATATGCTTCTGTGTCCTCTTGCTTTTTGGAGCCTGACCTTGACGGGGAGCTGAAATAATCAATCAGCCACCATGTGACCCATGCAGAGGGTGAGGGCACGATGGATGTTACAGAGTTAAAACACCAGAACGTCTGGCCTTGGCCACGTGTGAGGGGAGCAGGATTTTTAATCTTTCCATTATCTTGTGTTATGTTTTGAACATGATTATTATCATATTTAAGAAGTGGCTTAAGAAATTCTTATTTTACAAATGACCTAGTTTCTCCAACTAATGAGTGGAAGTCATAAAGGAGAAGCTAATGCAGGCAGCAGGGAGTCAGAGAACCAGTGCAGGTGCACTGGAGGCCGAACCCCCTCCCCCAGAGTAAGAAGACATTTCTGAACAACTCAGTAAAATTGAATATGGTCTGATGGGGGATTGGAATAAAGGAAGCGCTATTAATCGGGTTAGTGGGAATTGCAAATCATACTTATAGTTTATTTTAAAAGTTTTTAAAGAGGGTTTGGGGAAATGGCTCAGTCAGTAAAATTCTTACTAAGAAAGCAGAGGACCTGAGTTCATATCCACAGTGCATGTAATATAGGCACAAAGCCAGGCATGGCAGGATGTGCCTGTAATCCCAGCGCTGTGGAGGCAGAGAGAGAAGGATCCCTGGAACTCACTGGCCAGCTAGCCTAGCCTAAATCATGAACTTCAGGTTCAGTGAACAATTCTGTCTCAAAAGCTAAGGTGGAGAGCGGCCCGGGGAGATACCCAGTGTTGACCTCTGTCCTCTACACATGCATGGACAAGTGCACACACCCATGCAAACACCTCTCCTCCATGTCCTTAGCAGAGATGTGTCCTAAAGTTTCTATGGGTGGGATGAGGTGGTGATGGTGTTTATTTTTTAAAATGTTCATCAGGAGCTGATGAAACAGCTCGGTGGGCAATGACACTTGCCACACAAGCCCCACAACCCAAGTCCAATTCCCAGAACCTATGTAAAGGTGGAAGGACAGACCTATTCCTGGAAGTTGTCCCCTGACCTAGACACGCACACATGGTGCATGCCCACATCCCTCTCTCCCACTGTTCATGAAAGTAAAATGAAAGTTTTGTAAATACACGGCAAAAGCGAAAAGCATGTGACAGTGGGAAATGAAGCAAGCCAAGGATGGCGGGGTATCAGACAGAGGAGGGGCCATGCATGGATCTCGGGGCTTTACCTAGTGGTCTGTCTTCACTTTTTAAAGATATTTGAGACTTGTATGTTAAAAGTTAAAGGGGGGTGGGGTGTGGAGAGGTGGTGCAGTGGTTAAGAGCAAAGTCCTCTTTCAGAGGACTTAGGTTTGGTTCCCAGCATCCACATGACAGCTGACAGCCATCTGTAATTCCAGTTCCATCTGTAACCCTCTCTGGCCTCCAAGGGCAGGACATGCAGTTGTACACAAACATAAATCCAGGCAAAATCCTTGTCTTAGTTACTGTTCTATTGCTGTGAAGAGACACCTCGACTAAGGCAACTTATAAAAGAAAGCATTTCATTAAGAGCTTGCTTACGGTTTTAGAGGGTGAGTCCATGACCACCGTGGTGGGGAGCATGGAAGGCAGGCAGGCAGGTAGGCTTGGTTCCAGATATGCAAGTTGGAGGCAGAGAGAGAGAGAGAGAGAGAGAGAGAGAGGAGAGAGAGAGAGAGAGACTGGGCTTAGAATGGGCTTTTGAAGCCTCAAAGCCTACCCTCAGCGACATGCCTCCTCCAACAAGGCTACACATCCTAAATCCCTCCAGAAACAGTTCTACCAACTCAGTATCAAGCATTCAGGTATATGAGCCTATGGGGGCCATTCTCATTCAAACCATCACAAAGCTCATGCACATAAAATAAAAATAAATAAATCCTTAAAAGCCTCCAAAGTTAAAAGAATATTGAGGTCTTGTCTCTTGCCAACGATCTAACACCTTGCTTTGCTTTTCAGAGTGACCGGCTCCTCATCAGAGGCGGACGCATCATCAACGATGACCAGTCCTTCTATGCTGACGTCTACCTGGAAGATGGACTCATAAAGTGGGTTGGCCGGAACGGGCCTTTTAAGAACTCAGTCCCTCTAGGCTCCCTGTGGAAGGCTGATGTTCTGCCTCTGAATCAGTCTCCTGTGTTTCTGCATGTGTTTCTCCTGTAGGGTGGGAGTCAAACTGGGTGCAGCGTGAACTGGCATGCATGGAGGCCCTGCACATACCCTACTCTCTGCTCCTTAGATGCTCATCCCTCTGGTGTCTGTTACAGATGTACATCTCTTGTTACCATGGGAGTAGCAGCTTGCCCACAGTACAGGGTGGGATAAGGGTGGGACCCACATCCCACCCATAGTGTCTGCCTGAATCATTAGTTCTGTCTCCTACCTGCCGGTTCCTGGGACTGGGCTGAGGGTACCAGAAAGGAAGAGGACTATTGCCATCCATACCAGAAAAGCCTCTTGGTATTGGAGTTTCCCCTGATGTCCCTGTGATTTTCTCTTCTGCCCTATTCACCACAACACAAGAATAAGATCAGCTCTAGGTTACTGTATCAAAATGCCATAGACTGAGTGAGTGGAAAGACAGAGATCTATTTCTCCTGGTTCTGGAGGGTGGAGGTCCTAAACCAAGGTGCCATCAGTGTTGGATTTTGTGTTTTTTTTTTTTTTTTTTTTTTTTTTTTTTTTT